GGGAGAGGCCCGCGGCGCCCGGCCCACCAGCGGCGGCGGGCTGCCCCGGGAGGCCCCTCCTGCGGGATGGAGCTGCTGACCCGCCCCCAGCCCGCGTGGGTGGGCTCGTGCCCTTCAACTTCGCCCCTCCTCGGATTTGAAGGGGCCCACACGGTTGCCCCCTCCGTGGGCAGCGAGGCCTTGGTCCTGGTTTTGCCAAAGTTCAAGCTATCCGTTCCTTGGGCACGTCAGGGGAGGGAGGGCCAGCTCCTTGGCTTCCTATCTAATCCAGGGTTCAGTGGGTGGGTCACGGTGGGGGAAAGTCCAGGGTGTGAGGCCAGCTGCAGAGCTCCCAAGCTGCGAGGTCCCCCAAGGTGACCCGTGGAAACAGGGCTCCTCTGCTCCGGGTCAAGCTCAGGCCTCCAGAGACCTCAGGTCCCCAGCTCTGTTGCCCAGTGTCATCCCTGGCCCAGGGCAGCACCCACCCCGCAGGCCTCCTGGTTACTTAAGCTAAAGAGTTTCTTTCTTTTTTTTTTTTTTCCTTTTTACTGCTTCAGCCCTATTTTTAAATGCCATAAAACCCACTGTCATTAAATTTGGCAGACCGGCCAAGCCTGGGCCTGGGCACTTTCTAAGTTAGTTAGTGCATAATAACACAATAGCCGCCAGACCCAAATGCTTGGGAGTGGGGGTTGGCTCTGGGAGAATTGCCTGCAGAAAATCTAACCAAAAATCTAACTGAAATTAGTCAGAAAACCACCATGTCTAGAGGCTGAAGGGAGGCCTCGCCTGCCTCAGCTTTCTGCTGAGATGCTATGGCCTGGGAGGGCAGACAGGAGAAATTGGGATGAAGGGTGAATGTAAGGGGAAGGAAGGAAGTCAAAATAGAATTTCACTTTATAAGGTCCAGGCAGACCTAGTGGTCCAGCCCACGGAAGCAGAAAAACAAAGCATAATAAAACAAAACTGAACCCTGGCTAATATCCATGCGTGCAGCAGATTAACTGAGTCAATAAAGGCCACTATATAGATAAGATAATACCAGGGTATATTTGCTTAGCCTGCAGACAATGGAGGGAGGGAGTTTGCTCATTAACATGTTGGGACTGGGGGGGACTATTCACAGAATATCCAGGGGATGACAGGAACTCCCATGGTGGCTACCAGTCCAGAGAGACACGACGGTGGCTTACAGGCAAACCCAGTGGAGGTGCAAAGTTACCAGCCGCCTTGGAAAGTACTAAGTGACTTCGCCTTGCAGAGTGACATAGATCAGCCGGCTTTTCAGCAACTGGTAAGTGTCAGCTCCCAGCATGGGGAGGCTGGATCTCCAAAGAAAGGAGATTCTGGTTTAACTGTCACACAATGAAAGATTGGGGGAGGAGGGAGCCTCCCTGGCCCCAGGGTTGGGGAGAGGAGATGGAGGAGGTGTGGCGGACGCACATGCTGGCATGCAAGGAAAACAAACCTTACGAGTCTTGTCTGTGAGAGGTCGTAATTTGACCATCGAAAAAAATTGAATTTTCTATCAATCAGACCTGCTTTGAGGGATTAACTTCAGGGTGCCTAACTACATAGATATACCTGGGAAGGTGTACAGAGTTAGAGAATCATCTTAGACCTTTAGAGTCAGAAGGGACTTTAGAGATCACCTTGGCATTTTAATCAGCAACTAATAAATGTACTCCCTCCTCAGCTCCCAGAGAACGGTGTATTTAGGGACCTAAATCCAGGTGATTATAATAATAAGCAATGTTGTAGAACATAATCAATGTTATTATCAGTGGTCAGCAGGCACCTGTCTGGGTGCAAGTTTTCAAATATATCAACTAAGAGTTCAGTTGTCTAAAGGTATGAGTGATACTTTTTGCTACTCTATCCCTTTCTGGGACTATATCTTCATCTAAATGTAGGACTGCTTAAAGAGTTTTTAGCATATGAGTTCACGTGTCACACACAGTCATACACTGTGAGGCATAAATAGCGAAAGGAGTTCTACCAATAAGAGATAATAATGTGAAAACCTGTTTTAGCAATAATATGTTTTACACATCCAGAGAAGAGAAAATCAACTCACCTCTCACCTACAAAAGGCTTAAGGGTGAAGATAACTAAGATTATTAAGTGTATGTCCTTGGTGATACGGTATATGTACACATGTGGATTTTTTCTTAAACAATAAAACAGCCCTATAGAATCTTACTCTATAAAACAAGATCTATCCTAAAAACTTGTTCCGTTCTTTGAAAATAAAGCTGGAGATGATGTTAGCTTTTTGACCCCCCACATTTACCTGGAGGGCATTTTCTTTCTTTGTGGCAACAGTTGGGTAATGGGCCAGAGGTAGTGGTTAAAAGGGGCTTGGCCCAGATGTATGTTTGTATGTGGGCCAGTCTAGAGGTGAGGCAGATTTGAGGAGTCCCTTGACCTCCCAATGGGAAACTTTTAAAGGGCAGAAAGGAAGGTAGACCCTGGAATTAGGAAAAACAACTTACTTTTAAAGCCAGGTTAATCTTATGAGTTATTTGGCTGATAGAAGGCAGGTAAGGGGAGGGTTCTCGGGCAGCCAATTGTTTGCACCTTCTGAAACTTTCCTGTCAGCTGAGGGCAGAGGAAAGGAAGCCAAGGGGAGGGGTAGAAGCCCGGTGGAGAAGGAGGTTTACAACAGCAACACAATACTTTCGCCTTAAAAGAAGGAGCCAGATATTTATAATGTGGATGACGTTATAATATATGGGTCTCCTCTCGGAAGGAAGAGCCTGATTTAAAGAGAGAGAGACAGAGACAGAGAGAGGAGAGGCCAAAGGCAGCAGGACCAACAACAAGGAAGAAAGCCCACGCTGTGAACCCTCTGAGGAGTTAATCATTGTTCTGTGGAGCCTCCTCTGAATCTCCCGTCACACGATCTGAGCGTCGTGTTATGGATTTTCCAACTCAAGAAGAGAGGCTTTGATGCCTAGAGACTGAGAACTCGCCTGCTCCCAGGGCAACATGTAGCCGGCAGGATAATTTTATTTCGAGCATGCATGGTAGAGTTGTGATGCCATTTTACAGTGAAAAACACATTTGTTCCTAAATAATTTAATGCAACATAATGTTGGGAATTCAGTTTCAGTTAAAACAGAGCTCTCTTGGAAGATGGGAAAGCGAGAGGATTTCTTCTCGCGTTCTTTTCCTTGTAGGCTTTCTTTAAGCCTCTTAAAATTCAAAAATACATGTGGATATCCCTATCTGTATATCTATCTTATTAATCTACACAGAAGGACACTTGTAGGTACACACACACACAAACATACACAGGACGATTTTATAATCCTTTTGTGAATACGATCACACTCTCCTTTATTCATTTCTCAACCTTCTATGCAGGTCAATTTTTCAGAAGGAGGACCGGGCTCTAATTCCACTGGCAGTGAAGTGGCGTCGATGTCCTCTCAGCTCCCAGACACACCTAACAGCATGGTAGCCAGTCCTATTGAGGCATGAGGAACATTCATTCAGATGTATTTTTTTTCCCTGTTGGAGAAAGTGGGAAATTATAATGTTGAACTCTGAAACAAAAGTATTTAACGACCCAGTCAATGAAAACTGAATCGAGAAATGAATGCTCCATGAAATGCACGAAGTCTGTTTTAATGACAAGGTGATATGGTAGCAACACTGTGAAGACAATCATGGGATTTTACTAGAATTAAAACAACAGACAAAACCCAAACCCAACATATGCTATCCAATGACCTTAGGAGTACTGAAAAAAAAAGACGTTTTTAAAACGTAGAGGATTTATATTCAAGGATCTCAAAAAAAAAAGCGTTTTCATTTCACTGCACATCTAGAGAAAAGCAGAAATAGAGATTTTCTAGTCCATCCTATTCTGAATGGTGCTGTTTCTATATTGGTCATTGCCTTGCCAAACAGGAGCTCCAGCAAATGAGCAGGAAGAGAAACTGGCCTCCTAGGCTGAAAGAGTCCTTTCAGGAAGGTGGAGCTGCGTTGGTTTGCGATGTTTTTAGTTGACTTTAACAAAGGGTTAATTGAAATCCTGGGTCTCTAGCATGTCCTGTAGCCGGTTTCTTTTTTCCTTTTGCCCTCCCCCCACCTTTTTTTTTTTTTTTGAGATCCATCCTCTATCAAGAAGTCTGAAGCGACTTTAAAGGTTTTTGAATTCAGATTTAAAAACCAACTTATAAAGCATTGCAACAAGGTTACCTCTATTTTGCCACAAGCGTCTCGGGATTGTGTTTGACTTGTGTCTGTCCAAGAACTTTTCCCCCAAAGATGTGTATAGTTATTGGTTAAAATGACTGTTTTCTCTCTCTCTGGAAATAAAGAGGAAAAAAAGGAAACTTTTTTTTTGTTTGCTCTTGCATTGCAAAAATTATAAAGTAATTTATTATTTATTGTCGGAAGACTTGCCACTTTTCATGTCATTTGACATTATTTTTTGTTTGCTGAAGTAAAAAAAGAAAAAGATAAAGGTTGTACCGTGGTCTTTGAATTATATGTCTAATTCTATGTGTTTTGTCTTTTTTTTTCTTAAATATTATGTGAAATCAAAGCGCCATATGTAGAATTATATCTTCAGGACTATTTCACTAATAAACGTTTGGCATAGATAAATAAATAAACGCAATGATTCAGGGTCCCTCTTTTATATGTTTACAAGTAAGCCATTAAAATGTCTGAAATTAAGGACTGCATGTGAATCGGGGTAAACTGACATACAATAGGTGGGATGTTTTATTGCAAATAGGTTCAGCTTGCAAGTTTGCATTTCTATAGTTGGATCAAAACTGGTTGGAAACCTTTAGCACTCAGCTGTGATGTTACTGTTTTTTTTTGAAGATGAGATGCTGATCCTCTGTCCCTTTCCCCACCTTTCTTCTTGTCTCTTTTCTTGCCCTGCCCTCCACCCCACCTAAGAGGAAGAGGGTCCTCCTTAAAATGGGCCTAGATCCTGAAGCACTATTTTATTTTCTTAGAGTGCTTTATACCAAAGTCTCCTGCTTAGGACTGTTGAAATGACCCATACTTCAAGTATAAGCCCTCGGTAAAAGAGAGGCTTTCTGCCTGGCCGGTGAGGTATGACCATTATTTACCAGTGGCGGCTGTCAGCCGATTGAGAAATGCGGCTTTATTTGCGCAGGAAGAACCGGCCGAGAGAGGGGAGTTTTCTCAGCAATTCCCAGACTAGTCACCGTGTCTTTCCTGCCTTCGCCTGCCCATCAGCACCCGCAACTTGTCCCCCTGCCCTTCTTCTCCCCCAACTCCGAATGCAGAAACCTCAGGAGGGTGACTGGTGGGGGCGGAGAACCGCGGCGGAGGTTCTGTCGGGAACCGCCTTAGTGAGCAGAGGTCCGGGTCGCCTGCCCCGGCGGCGGTCGGAGTTTCGGGGACGTGCGCCCTAACACCCCCCCCCCGCCCATTCAGCAGTAGCTCCTGTGCCCGAGCCAGAACCTGGGGATGGATAAATGTCCTTGCCCGAAATCAGGCTTCTCGGTTCGTTTGTGGGTGTAGAGTTAGGACTTGGGGCTCCACCCTGTCCTCTCTCTTCCCACCGCCACCCCAGGATGCTGCTTCGGCTCTTTAGAAACTGAATGCATTTGTCCGCGCGACTGTAATACCGGTTTAAATGTCTGACAACTCGTAATAAATTCGAAAGCTGCAGTACCTAATCGTGTGTCTCGTGGCGTGCGCCCCTTCGGGCCCCTGCCGGGGAGCAGGGCGGAGGCCGGGCCGGAGACCGGCGAGCCCCGCAGCTTCCCAGCTCTCAAGTCGCCTTCGCCTTCTCCAAACCTGCCGCAAGTCGGGAAACGAGCCTCAATTAGGCTTTTGTTTGGCCTCGTTCTACATAACGGGTTAATTACAGGCTCTAACATGGGGGCAGAGAGAAAACAAACTTTGAATTGAAAATGTTACAGTGCATTAGACATGCCCGTTGATTACTTTGATTGTTGTGTCTAATTCTTGACAGAGGGGTAATAATTTGGCCGGCGGTAATAATGGCTTGTAGTCATCTGTTGAGAAAAACGGGAGTTATGTCTTATCTCACATGGATCTTCTCCGGGAAGGCCCCCCCTCCCCTTTTGCTTCTTCTCTTTTTCTTTTCTCTCCCGTCTCCCTCCTCTAATCTCTTGCACCAGACTTGACTCCCTCAGCTTCCCAATTTCTATTCGCCTGTCTTTTCAACTTTACTTTTTCCTCAACATCCTTCCTGGGATGGCTGACTAATAAGTGCAAGGATGGCAGGTCCAACATGAATATTGGTGTCAGAAGTGCAAAGTTACTGATTGCTCAAGCCCTGGTTTGGAAACCTTTAAGTCCTTTCCCCCAGGCATAGCCTTTAGAAGACCCTTTTGAAAACAGGAACTAGAGATGGGGGGGGGGGGACTTTAGGGTTTGAATGCAATGTGGAGACTTAATTGAGGCACACATTTTTGTGATGGTTTTTCATCCTGATATTTATTTCTAAGATTAGGGGGCTTGGGGTGGCGAGAGATAAGGTTTTAAGCATATAGATATCAGTCTATTCTGAAGTCCACAGCTCGAATTTAAGTACAGTAATTTGGGAGGGAAGTGCTGAATGATTTGGTTTCACTTGCTAGATTCAAGATATTTGTCGCTTGATGGCTGAGAATGGATTGATGGGTCGATAGCATTCCAGTTCTTGTATTATTCATATGAAAGGTGTGTTCCCTTCTAGACTCCTCGGCATGTGCTCTAAAATGTGTAGCTGAAATGTCTTCTTGTTTGCAAACCATCTTTTGCACATACTCTCCTTTTCCCTGCACACCTCTGGAGACCAAGTTTTGAGCTGTGTTCTTCAAATGAAATTCCTTCTGTTTGCTATTATCTTTGATCCTCCCTCCCCTTATTACTCTGAATTCTTCCTTCTGGACATTATGACTCATTTCCTCCAGCTTCTGCAAGCTAAAATTTAATGCAACTAAAAACATCCAGGATGCTCTCCTTAAATCAGGGAATCCATATCAACATCTATACTCTTAAAAAAAGACAGGATTTTTTCCACCTATTGTTTCAGAGCAATAACATCCTCTTATTTCAGTTTATTGTCTCTGTCTTTCCCTTTCATCAAGGGACCTGGATTTTCTTACCGTTAAAAAAGGTTCTTTCTAAGGTAGAATCATATTGGAAGAAATTTTTTTCTGGTTATTTGAGATTCTGTGTGGGTGTACCCACTTACCAATTCACAACTTTTTTGTAATTCAAGATTAAATAGGTGACTTAGTGATGCTCTGGTGCTATTCACCCCAATGAAATTGTTCAACTCTTATTGACCTACTTTCTGGTCTATCTTATCCTTTTGACTAAAAGCCAAAAAGATACAATGTGCTTTTAAGGTACCTTGAAGTGCTTGGCATTTTCCTAGCACCTTGAATTTTTAAGCCATAAGATCGATCTCATTGAAATATCTCTTGTAAGTCCCATGTGGATTTACTTAGCCTTTTCCTTTTTCTTAAAAAAAAAAAAACGACGAAAAGTAAAAACTAAGTTCAAACCACCAGAAGAGCTAAGTTTGGACGGGACCCAGCCAGTTTGGGTTTAATCTCCCCTGTAATACAAGTAAACTATCTAAGCAGAAAGTATTTATTTTCTTATCTGTAAAGTTCAGTCTAGTCATCTTTTCTAAAGGAGATTTATAATCCAAATTATGCTTGAGTTCTGTTCATTAAGGACTATTTACTTCTTTGCTGCTAATCAACAATTAAAGATTATGTCACAACAAGGCGGGTCAAATTTTCTTTAGGGGTGCTGGGAGAAAGGAGGAAGGAATTTTTTGTGTGTGCCTTTATTTTAGGTGTTACTTTCGAAAAGGGCCCCAAATCTTGAATTCTCGTTGACTATTTAAAATAAAGACAATCAACTTGTACAGTGTGAGTCGCTGTTTTTAAACTAATATGCAAGTAGTTAATTCAGGGCGCTGGCAGCCAATTCTGTTTACTGATCTTTTCTGATTGTTGTTTTCTTGATAACTGAGTAAGCCACTGAATGGCTGTTTGAGCCTAGGCGCCACAAACATAAACTTCACAGCTTACAATGTCCCAAGTCGTGATGGAGGATCTCTCCACACCTCCTGGAGACTTCTGAAGTGTAGACAGAGAAGTTGGTTCACAGGGAGCGAAGGAGGGGGAGGGGCGGGAGGGAAGGCTGCTGAGTGTTTTCTGTGAGCATTGTTACTATCACATCCTTTAATTTTTATGGCGCTTAAGCTGTTGGCTCTGAGAAGCCAGTTTCTGTGCCTTGGAGAAGCCAGTCTCTGCCTGGAGCCGCACTTAAGACTACTTGATTTTTTTAAAAAAGGTTTTTAACATTCATTTTGCATATCTTTCTGCTTAATTATGCCTCTGCAAAAGCGCTCAGCAATGATAAGCAAAGCGTTCTGGGGGAAAAAAAAACATTTTTTACCCCCAAAGGGGTGAACGCCTGGATTTGGAGGGAAAGTTGCAGGGTAAGAAAGGCACCTTGACCTGTGCTGTACGACAGCTCTATGCTAGATTCCGCTCGGCCCTCTCCTCGCCTGGGATCCTCTTTCCCTTCCATTGAGCAAAAGTTAGTTTTCATTTCTTCGGGGATGCTATCTGTGGATTTGATTGTGTTGGCAACTTATTTTTCCAATCTTCCTAGTGATTCTCCCCTCCGATGTGTTTGCCAGGTCCAGCGGGCAGGGCAGAGCCCAGCTGCACTCGGGTTTGGGGTGGGTGGGTGCTAGGAAGGGGGACCCGTCACTGGTCTAACCAGCCCTGTGACTCCCGCGGGCAAGTCAGCCCTTGATCCCTTAAAGCAGGGACAGTCGTGGTCCGGGGGAGGAAAAAGGGGTGTTGCTGGGCCCTTCTCTTTCAGGGGTTGATCAGGTTGGCAGATCTGGAGGGCTAATCCAAACAAGGCGCTTGACTTGTGAGGTCGCGAGTCTAGACAGAGCTGGTGGCTCGGCGGCTCCTT